GGGTCAATGATTGTTCGTGTTATATATTTTCTGATTGATTGATAGGAACATGTAAACGATGTTCTTGTCGGTTGATATTTGTGTTATTTAAGGAAAAATGGCTTGCTAAATCGAATTGCATGTCGCGTTATCTACTTGTTTTGCGTCTTTATTTAATTTTTTTCCAATTTTCTTTGGCGTCGGAGCATGAGCTGAAGTGGGATACTGTGTTTAAGGGGCATTTCGTGTAGATGATGTTTTCTTAGAGCTCTGTGTGTGTGTGTGTGTGTGTGTGTGTGTGTGTGTGTGTGTTTGTTGCTACTAAAGAAATAATGGGATGTTTGGGTTTAGGGTTTTTTGCCAAGTTTTCGAGCGGATTTGGGGGGGAAATGATTCGGGTGGTAGCTTTTGTTGTCAAAGGTTGTGTTTTTAGCTGACCCAGTTCAGTTTCCTTTGTTCCTTCTCATTGCATGTGTCATTTGATCATCCAAAAATAAAAAGAAGAAATCTCGAAAATCTTGCAGAATGAAAATTGTGTGGTTAGACTTCCGTTTGTACCTTAAGGATACTGTCTGAATCCCGCTTAACCTCTGTTTTGATGTGCGTGCGACGTGCGTGTGTTGGGTATGTACTCATGTTTTTCACAAGGGATGGGTAGAGTGACTTTCCGTAAGACAAATGTTCGAACTTTTTCACTTGTTCTGTTTCGATCGGCACTTTTTCTTACAGATGGGGGAACGGGACTTTCTTAACGAAGCTGGACCGAGCAGCGACAAGTATCCAAATGGGTCCACCAAAATGGACCTCGATGATGACATCGTAGATTTCGACTATTCTTCTGATGACGAGCCCGACAAAAATCCCATGCTGGGGCTCGACGAAAGTTCCCTGAAAATGTTTGTTAGGAAAGCTGCCACTTCATTTTTCGATCAGTATGGTTTAATCTCCCACCAGATCAATTCGTACAATGACTTTGTTCGGCACGGGATTCAACGTCTCTTTGATTCCATCGGGGAGATCAGCATCGAACCGGGATATGACATTTCGAAAAAGGTTGAAGGTGATTGGAGGCGAGGCTCCCTCAGGTTCGGTAAAGTCACCCTTGATCCCCCGATGTTCTGGACGGGTGGGAAGTTCGCCGCTCTTGATGGTGCTAAAGAGCATTTGGATCTTTACCCGAGGCATGCTCGTCTCCAAAACATGACCTATTCGTCTAGGATCAGAGTCGAGGCGTATCTTCAGGTCATATATTGTCTATAATCTAGTTTTTCGTTTATTTTATGGTAACCTGATTAAAATGGCGTTTTTGGATACAAATATATCTGCTCAAAACGGGTTTTTCTTTTTTTTGGTTAATCATAGTTAATTTTTAAATGAAAAAGGTGGGATTTTGAGTTTACATTAATAATATCTAAAATAAGATAATTAAAGTTGATTTAATGTAAAAGTAAGAGAAAGATGATGTGAAGTGATGGTTAGTTAAAATTATGTGAGCGAATGAAAAGTGAATTAAAAATGATGTAATGTGTATGAATGATTGATTGGTATTATTTAATTAGATTGATAATAATGAGGATAGTGGGGTTGAGTTAAAGTTGAGTTAGATTTTGAGTTTGAATTGAGTTTATTTATATAAGCGAACACACCCTAAGTTTT